TAGAGCATTGGCCCCCCCCCCCCCCCCCCCTTGAGCCCCTCCTCTTCTACACCCCTGGAATTTTACTTGTATAACCAAGACAATACATGCATACAGTACTCCGAAGATGAACATTTTATCTTATCCTATTCTATGTTTCAATTATGCTTTAGTCATCACCTGGAATTTTGCTAAGTTACATTTCAGATACTTTTCAAGGAATGGCTCAGTATAATTTAAAGCTGATGGCTCAGCATCATCTAAATCTCTAAATGTAATCTATTTTATGTTTGTATTCTCTTAATTATTTTATCGTCTTCCCCTGAAGAAAAATCTCAGAAATATAAGTTACCATAATTTTCTAGTGATCAGATCATATATGGTATTGATAAAATGATTATTTTCGGAGTCATCGTTGTTGTTTTGTATTTCGTTAACTTGTACACTGCTAAATACTAGCCTCCTCCGCAGGCAACTATGTAGTTCTGCAACGTTATTAACCATAAAAGATTCATCAGGAACGTAGAAAATACAAGGAAATAGTTCTGAAATACGATATGATATTTATAATAAACACTGGAGCGTAAAAATAGGGAGGCTTGTGGATAATGTAGGAAGTAATGGGTTCCAGTGTTTATTATAAATATCATATCGTATTTCAGAACTAGTATTTCCAACACCGCGGAAAAACGTCTGCGCATGCGTCAACCTTACCTGTAATAGTATTGGGAACTTGATGAGAAGCTGTTCCGAACGTTTCCGAAGGCTCAAAATGGCGGTAAAAAGGAGTGACTTCATTGTGCGTCTTTACAGCCAGATTTCAAGCGCAAAAATAAACATGTCATTCTAAAAACTAGAAATAAATACAGCCAGAAGGTTCAAGAAATTGTATTGTACAAGAACATGAACTAAAGGTGATTGTTGACAAATTTATCGTCTGAAACATTTTGTTTATCAACTAAGCAATGACAATATCCGAATTTTCGTTTGAGATACATTTCTTTAAAAAAAACTGTGTCGCCAAATATAAAAAATTTGCGTGTTCACAATAATTAAACTTTAGGATTTATTCTACAATTTGAGTGGGTTAAGAAGCTTAACTTTTCGGGAGTTTTCTTAACTTTTTAGTTTGAATTTTTGTTTTGAATAATTTTGCAAAAATTTTCGAAGTCGTGTCCGTTAAAATCAACATTTTTGTACAAGAATTATATTTCATTCCATACTTTAAATGCCAGGACGCTTTCAATTAATGTCTAGTCTACCCATTTGCTATATTTTCTCGTTTGTTTTACTAATTTTTGACCAATTAATAAGCATGTTTTTGTTTTAGAAATTGATATTCAAATTCCCCGCCATATTTTCATAATTTGGTGCATGCGCAGACGTTTTTCCGCGGTGTTAGTATTTCCTTGTATTTTCTACGTTCCTGATAAATCTTTTATGGTTAATAATGTTGCAGAACTACACAGTTGCCTACGGAGGAGGCTAGCTAAATACACGACTGCAAAAAATTAAATATGATATATGTTGTTTGTGATCTTATTCTGAGTGTGCATCCACACCAGGCAAGCTGAAAAGTTACGGTGGGAATCGAACCCGCGACCTTTGGGATACTAGGCCAATGTTGTACCAACTGAGCTACGAGGTCAAATCGGTTCGAGTTGGTGATATTTCATATTCTAAGATATGATACTTTTGTGTTTGTTGGTATTACGTACTCAAGTGAATATGATTGGTAGAGCACTGGACTAGTATTGGTAGAGCATTGGACTAGTATTGGTAGAGCATTGGACTAGTATTGGTAGAGCATTGGACTAGTATTGGTAGAGCATTGGACTAGTATTGGTAGAGCATTGGACTAGTATTGGTAGAGCACTGGACTAGTATTGGTAGAGCATTGGACTAGTATTGGTAGAGCATTGGACTAGTATTGGTAGAGCATTGGACTAGTATTGGTAGAGCATTGGACTAGTATTGGTAGAGCATTGGACTAGTATTGGTAGAGCATTGGACTAGTATTGGTAGAGCATTGGACTAGTATTGGTAGAGCACTGGACTAGTATTCCAATAAGGTCGCGGGTTTGATTCCCACCGTGGTCAGGCAAACCTTTCAGCTTGCCCGGTGTGTATGTACACTCAGAGTAACATCACAAACATCATATTCACCTGACTACATAACAACAACACACACAACAAGTATGATATATGTGTTCATCCCAAATCAAACAAAGATGGGAGTCCATGAGAGCTTTATTCGTGAAAACGTCGTTGGAACATTCGTCAAAATTTTATTTTGTTAACCTATAGAGCTTGAATGGACCATTTGCATTATAGACTAAGTTTTGATCTAAACAAGTCTAGACAAAAAGTTCATCACAGTTTGAAAGAGCATCACAAAATTAGTAAGGGGCCATTCACAAAGGATGTCCGGCCAAATGATGGATTTTCAGACCCCCCCCCCCTTCCCCCTTGTCCGGCATTGTCCGAATTAGTGACCCCCTCCCCCCGGACATCCGCCGTGCCTCGCAAAAACTCATGCAATCTTGTATATATCAAGAGTAAAAAACTTTTACTTTTAGAACTTTTTTATAACTGTAAATGTGAACACAAAAACATATAAATTACTAATTAAAACAAAATCTAGTGTTAACCGCATAGTCAAAATACCAATTTCACAATGGGAAGGACTGCTCAAAATAGAGGGAAAAAGAAATTTGTTTTTGAATTTTTTTAAATTTCGGACATCCGGATTGCTAAAAACCCCCCTCCCCCCTATGTCCGAGTTTGTCCTGATTTTCCAAACCCCCCTCCCCCCCGGCTCGGACATCCTTTGTGAATGGCCCCTAATATCCCAAAGTTTCGTTGTGAAATGTTGCGAAATGCGGATAATATAGCCTTGCGAAGATTGCCGTTTTTCAGTCATTTTCTATTACAATCGGGAAATTGACAGCCCCAAAGGGTATTGGGCTGTCAATTTCCCCCGCATTTTACAACATTTCGCAACGAAACTTTGGAATATTACTAATTTTGTGATGCTCTTTCAAGCTGTGATGAAATGTTTGTCTAGACTTTTTTAGATCAAAATTTAGTCTATAATGCAAATGTCCATTGTCTCCTGTAAGAATTCGTGACTATCAACTCTCATGCATCCACCACGTTTGATTGGGACTTTACTTCGTTGAACTGAAAAATTGTGAACTCAGAAATATTTCTTTTTCATTAATTAGGGTCCTACAATGACATCTGAA